CCAGATTGCTTTTCTGTCTTGCACTTTTTAAACTTTGTGCTTATACAACCACCTCATTCCTAGCCTAGCCAGGATGTTTATCTGAGGAGCAGGGCTTGCGAGAGGACCCCTGTGAGCAGTAAGGAGAGCTTTAGTGTGAGCCTGGCGTGCTGAGCGCAGCAGTAGTGGCTGCTCTGTAACGGTGTCAGTGCTGGAGGAGCCCAGGAGGGGTGTTGGACACGGCAGCTCCGGCTGTTCCGCAGCAGACCCAGGTCTGTGGCACCCTGGAGCTGTCCCCGGGGCCCTTCCCGGTCCCCCTGACCTTGTGCCCGTCCCGCGCAGCGATCCGCTTTGGCCGCATGCCGGAAGCGGAGAAGAGGAAGCTGGTGGCGGGGCTGACGGCCAGTGACATCAGCTGCCAGAACCCGCACGTGGCCGACCTCAAGGCTTTCTCCAAGCACATCTGCAACGCCTACCTGAAAAACTTCAACATGACCAAAAAGAAGGCGAGAGCGATCTTGACCGGGAAGACCAGCAGCACCCCAGTAAGTTCCCTCCCCAGCGCAGGCAGGGCCGGCCGCGGCCGACACGGGGGCGATTCTCTGGCGATGCTCAACGTCTCTGTCCTGCTCTGGCTATGTCGCATGCACCAGTTACCAGCTGCAGCCAGAAGGGCCGTATAAGCCCTATCCCGTGCCAGGAAAATTCCCATTTCCCTGCTGAATTCCGCTGTTGTGGGGGGTGCAGATTGCTTGGGTCCCGGGAACCCCGTGGGGAGCGGGCAGCCGAGGTACCCCAGGGACAGTCACAGGAATGCGAGTGTCCTGGAGCGAGCCGGTGGCTCGAGGCTCCCCGCTGGTTCCCAACCGCTTGCTTCTCTTTCAAGCAGCCTTTCGTGATCCACGACATGGACACCCTGTGGCGGGCGGAAAAGGGCCTGGTCTGGAAACAGCTGGTGGACGAGATCCCCCCCTACAAGGAGATCGGGGTCCACGTCTTCTACCGCTGCCAGTGCACCTCGGTGGAGACGGTGCGGGAGCTCACCGAGTTCGCCAAGAGCATCCCCAGCTTCGTGGGCCTTTACCTGAACGACCAAGTGACTCTGCTCAAGTACGGGGTGCACGAGGCCATCTTTGCCATGCTGGCCTCCATCATGAACAAGGACGGGCTGCTGGTGGCCGACGGCAACGCGTTCGTGACGCGCGAGTTCCTGCGCAGCCTGCGCAAGCCCTTCAACGAGATCATGGAGCCCAAGTTCGAGTTTGCCGTGAAGTTCAACGCGCTGGAGCTGGACGACAGCGACTTGTCGCTGTTCGTGGCCGCCATCATCCTGTGTGGAGGTGAGTGGCCCTTGCAGGGCTTGAGCAGCAGGAAAAGTCCTTCCTTCCCTGGGGGGAGCTGGGGCTGTGCTGGCCTGGGGTGGGAGGGTGTCTCCAAGGATCAACGTTGACCAGCTGGGAGCGCTGGCGGGCGGTTACATCCCTGTGCCCGTTTTCCCGGGCGCAGCGCGTGCTTGGGAAGACGGTGCCACCCCCCGGCTCCCTTGTGTCCCCCTCCCGCAGACCGCCCCGGCCTGACGAACGTGAAGCAGGTGGAGGAGATCCAGGACAACATCCTGCGGGCGCTGGAGTTCCACCTGCAGAGCAACCACCCGGACGCGCAGTACCTCTTCCCCAAGCTGCTGCAGAAGATGGCCGACCTGCGGCAGCTGGTGACCGAGCACGCGCAGCTCATGCAGAAGATCAAGAAGACGGAGGCAGAGACGTCTCTGCACCCGCTGCTGCAGGAGATCTACAAGGACATGTACTAAGGGCCGCTTATTTATGAGAGATCGAAGCCATGGATTCCCAGCAAGACTCTTTGGACAAAAACAAAGAAAACCCTCCCCAGGTGCCCAGGTCTTCCGTTTCTTCTGCTGGAAACTTGTCTCTACACGTTGCTGACACGCGGTACATAGGGCAAGACGCCCGCAGGTTCTGCAGCCGGGAGGCCAGGGCTTCGTTAACACAAACTAACGAATTCCCAAAGGCAACCCAGGGGCTCCTGCTTCCGTTCCTGCGGCCCTGCTTCCCGCTGCCTCCGGAGCAGCCGGCTGGATTACGTGCCGTGGATGTGGGGCTCCCGGAGCTGGGACGCTGTGGGCAGGGGGGGACCCATCACCCGGCAGGGCCAGCAGCAGCCCTTGGAGCGGGTCTTTATTTCCTCTTTGTATTGCACTCTGAAGTCACAGCCCTGAGCCGTGAAGTCTAGGACAGCGTAAGGAAAGGAAATTCCCCTCTTTTGCAGAGGGAAGGGGGAGAGTGTTTGGAGCCGGGTACAGCTGTTTTAGCAGAAGAGACCCTCGGCCGCAGCCCTGTTCGCGTTCGTATCTCCAGCAAGGGCCGGGTGCTCCCGGCGTCCGCGGGCGACGCGCGGGGCCCTCAGCACTGGGTGGCCGTGGCCCCGCTGCCCTTGGCGCCTCCCGCTGACAGGGACGGAGGAGGGACAGGGGAGCCCGTTTGGCTCCGCTCCGGGCCGTTCCGAGCATGCAGCTGGTGGCCGGGGGCCACCCCATGGCTTTCCAGGCTGGCACGTGCCGGCAGAGCCGCCTCGAGCTCCTGGGCAGAGCGGGAGCCCCGGGGCACCCGGAGAGCCCCCGTGCCCCCAGCTCCCCGCGTGGCCTTCGCCTTGTCCTCTACAGCCCGTGGGCCGGTGCAGCCGGGGGGCGGCTGCTGGAGACCTGCGGGATCCTGGAGACTTGTGGGATCCGGGAGACCTCCTGGAGACCTCCTGGAGACCTGTGGGATCCTGGAGACTTGTGGGATCCGGGAGACCTCCTGGAGACCTCCTGGAGACCTGTGGGATCCCAGAGACCTGCGGGATCCCAGAGACCTGCGGGATCCCAGAAACCGTCAGGATCCCGGCGCTGGTGGTGCCTTCTCCTGGGGGAGCCGGGCCGAGGCCCCGGCGCCGTGTCCTAAGCAGCCTTATCACAGCGCGGCCCAACCCCGCGGCCTCTCTCCTCTCTCATCCTGATCTTTATTTCTCCCGCTCGTCAGGGCAGCGGACGCCCCCCCGGTGCAATAAATCCTCTAAAGCGCCGGGGGGAAGGGCCCTCCGCAGCCCCTGGACCCGCGCGCGGCTGCTCCGGCCCCGCTCCGGGCCTCGGTTTCCCTGTCCCGAGCAGCCCCTTGTCCGACCTCGGGGCTGTCGGCGGCGCTGAAGCACTTTGGAATCCTCTCCCGGGAGGCGCCGGCGGCGCCGGCCGCGCGCGGGACTTGTGGCCCTCGTGGCCGGGCCGCGGGACTCGCGCGGCCGTCGCCTGAGGAACATTTTGCTCTTCCCTCCTCTCGACAGCGTAACAAGCCTCAACCTGAAATGTATATTTTTGCTAGAAGTACAAACCTCCAAGTGTTTTTAATAATATAAATAGCGTCCACAGACTGACTTGACTTTAAATAAACCTGAACTAAATATTTAAGGATCTTTCCAGCGCCCTCCTGGCCTTTCTTGGCGGGGTTTTGCCCCGCGGGTTTTCGCCCTGCGTTTGCCATGGGGCAGTGAGAGCTGCTCGGAGCGCTCGGCCTCGGAGCCGTGTGCCCTGCCCGGACCTTTGTCCTGGCTCCTCCCTGGGGAGGCAGCGCTGGCCCCCGTGTCCCCCGGCTCGCGCACGGACGGGCTCTGGGCATGGGATGGCGGAAGGGTAAATCCCCCAGCGCTGGGGTTGCGTTTCACCCGGAACCTTTCCCTGCAGGAAGCAATGGAAAACCCTGTTTTTTTTTTTTTTTAATCGCTTTCCC